GGGGGGTCACAGGGAACAGACCTCAGCTGTATATGATGGTGTGGGGGGGTCACAGGTAACAGACCCCAGCTGTATATGATGGCGTGGGCGGTCACAGGGAACAGACTCCAGCTGTATATGATGATGTGGGGGGGGTCACAGAGAACAGACCCCCCCCCAGCGTGTATATGATGGTGTGGACGGGTCTCACAGGGTGTCAGGCAAAGCATAGCTGCAGCCTAGCAACTACTCTCAGAAGGGCCTGACTGTTGTCAAGTGTGAGATTGATCCACTCATTGTTGAAAACACAAGAATGTCTTAAAATCTAGAGGCAATGTCTCAAAGAAATTCCATATCCATGAGGCAGGACTAGATCACCCTGGTGAGCAGCTGTAAAAGGTTCAAGAATGGGGTCTGCGGATGAGGCTGGAAAGTTCCTCTCATGGGGACATTAGGCAGGTCTCTGTCATCTAATAAGGGTAAAAAGATTCCACACGGTAGTGGCCACAACCAACTTCTCCCTAGCCTAACAAACAAACAACACAAGGTAGGTGGGGAGATGGGAGAAGACTTGCTGGCTCACACACCCAGGTCAGGGAGTAGAAAGCTGAGGAGCGGGTCTACCTGGAGACTGCACATCAAGAGGGCACTGGGAGTTGACAGAAGCGCAAGAACGTCCTGTCCTGCTGAGCACAAGACACTCCTGGGCCCTGCAGATCCCAGGGTTTGCTATGTGGGGCTAAAAAAGGGCCACAGATGGTGTAACTGGCTGGGCTGGTCTTCAGGTGTGTCCCTTTGGGACGTCCCTCCTGCTATGGACCAGCTCTTTCTAGGAAGGCCTTGCTGGGGCCTCGTGTTCTTAAGGAGTGTGAAGGAAGTAAATACCAGTTGTGTTTTACAAAGTGCTTCTGAGAAGGGTCTTACTATGTAGCCCTGGCTGGCCTAGAACTGACTGTATAGATCAGGCTAAGCTCAGACTTGCAGTCCCTCCTGGGTGTTAGAGTTACAGGTGTATATCACTATGTCCTGCTAGGAGATAAATTTGGATACAGAAACCCAGGAATGTGTACTAGGCATGACAGAGACACAGTTCAAAGCACTGTGACTGTAAAGGGTGCTCACAGATGTCACAAGCTGCATGGGAGGCAGGCCTGACGCTGGCCCTCATCCAGGACAATCTACTGTGTTTCTACCGCATGCTGTCTGCCTTGGATGGGTGGGATGGAGTCAGCTTGGAATGTACAGTGGCCACTTCATAGGCCATCAGCTCCAGGGCAGAAGTGCTGGGAGAAAGTTGCAGGCCCACATCTGGCTAGCCCTCCTGGGTTCTCACTGTCTTGTTTAAGCCACCTCTGTCAGGTAGAAGTGTCTTCTCCATGTCTCCATGGTCCCTTTTCCACAGAGCGAGGGGACGAAATTGCTCCAGGACACAAGCTGCTCAGTTGCTCTTTCACTTGCTCTTCTGCAGCTGAGTCTGAGATGCGCTTCACACAGGTTAGAGCCTGGAGGCTTCCCTTGTTGTCTGAGCTCAGGGAAGGGTCTACCTAGTTCCATGTCCTCAATGTGCACACTTTCAGGGCAGAGGTGACCTCTGCCACCATATCTCAATCCTTAGAGAAAAGGACATCTTTACAGACATCAAATCACTTCCCTCAAATGTGTTGTGGGTCCCTCACTGCTTTCCAGGTTAGGCTGCTGCACGTTCCAGCATGCTCAGCAGATGTGACAGATCCACGAGCGAGAGGGCTCAAGAGTCAACAGGACAGCAGAGCACAACCTATCCACTGAGAAACGGGACCCTCTTCTTGGCTCCCGAAACCTTGTGCAAGCGCTCTAGGAATAACTCTGCAGACTATATTAGCACATGCTCTTGTTAACTCAGACGTTTTTCTGAGCCAGTTAAGATGGCCTCTCGCTGCTGTCTGCCAGCCAGCTTGAGGTTAGCCTGGTATAAATCTCTAAGTTACCTGGTCTCACTGCTCAGTCCTAGCAGTGAATTAATTTTGCTTTTTAAGACAGGGTCTCACTGTGTAGCTCTGGCTGTCCTGGAACTTACTATGTAGACAAAGGTGGCCTAAAATTCACAGGGGTCCTCCTGCCTCTGCCTTCTGAGTGCTGGTGTATGGCACCTCAAGCAGCTGCTTCAGCTACATTATTAAGAGAACGTATTAGTCTGGAATTCCTCCATGTTAGTTCATTCACAGGCTCCCTGTCTGCTTGGCACTAGAACACTATTTTTTTTTTTTAACATGGGAAGGAAGTTTGTTGGGGAAAGGGGAGAGAGAAAGAGAAGGAGAGAGAGAGAGAGAGAGAGAGAGAGAGAGAGAGAGAGAGAGAGAGCCCTGCCCCTCAGAGAAACGGCAGAAGGAGAGCTAGAACATTATTTGAAATCTTCCAGCAAAGTAAACTCTGCAGTGAGAGCAAGTTAAACCTGCAGAATGACCTACCCTTCCCCGAGACACAAAGCTGTAAACAGCACCACACAGAACTGATTGATTTTTTTTTAAACTAAGGCACATGACGTTTAGAAATACTGAGGTACAAAATGCAAATTTCTGCATGAGATTTCTGAAGTACTCATTTGGAAAATGATGGCGAAAAATCATCTTCCAGAAGCTTCAGCTTTTAGCTTGTTTTTTCTTTTGGACCAGTTCAACCAGCAGCTTATATCTAGCAATACAGTCTTCCTGTAGGAAGAAAAAAAGAGTGGTAACAGTTACTTCCATGGGTCAGTGCTCCTGGTATGGTCAGTTCACTGTGACCTAATTGCTGACTAGTGCCCAGTCCTAATGACGAAGTCTTGTATTCATTTCCTTAGAACCTTCTGGATCATCCTGGGAAAGCCTAGATGGCCCCAGGTAGACCTGGGCTGAGAAGACCTGATGCAAGGCTGACCAAGGTGATGGTGCTGAGCATGGGGTGATAGTTGGGCGCAGTTAAGGTGACAGTGCCATCATGGTGACAATCCCCACCTCAGCTTGGGACCTGCTCCTAGCATGGTAGCATCCACTACCTTAGCATATCCCGTTTCAGAGATATCAAGAAACCTGAGGCCACAGCGCTCCTCTCCTTTGGATGTGCCTCACCCTGGTGGCTGCTGGAACTTACCTTTGTGAGCCACAGCATACTGCCAGCACAGAAGATGATCAAGTCTTCCTCACACTCTCCCCATTCCCACCTGTCACCCAAGCCAATGGCAACCTCAGAACTCCCATGGCTGCCATCCCTTGCATGGAACTAAGCACAGACAAGACGGGGGAAAGAGCCTCATTATCTTTAGGTGGGCACTGTGTATATTTCAGAAGCCATTCTGCTGGTTTCAATAATACCAATGCCATGCTATTGCAAGCATGTTAACTCGGGATCCAGGGCAAATGACTGTTGTTCTAAACAGGGTCCTTAATCTGGTACCTGAGACGGGATGGGTGCCCATTCTTTTGGATTTCAGGGCAGCAGTGTTGGACTAGCCTCTTTTAGGGAGTGCCTCCCTACATCCCAACACTACCCACCCACGCCGTCCAAGTATGAGCACAGCTGTGGTCAGTCTCGGCATTCAGCCTTTAACAGGACAGTGTTGGTAGTCCTGAGCTCCCATCAAGGCAGCTGGCATGAAGTCACCTCAGTCAGGCTGGCACCAGAGGGTCAGTGGGCAGCTCTCCTGCACCTGCGGCATTAGACCATATGTGATGCCTGTGGGCCTCTGTGGCCCTGCTCCTCTCTGGTAGAAACAGGAAGGTTCCAATCCCCTTCTGGTGCTTTCATTTTGAGCAAAACTCAATTTATCACACATGTAAATGGCTGAGTCTGACAAAAGTTGGAGAAACTCAGCAAAATTATTACTTCTGGAAACTGACTAGAGAGACTGGGAGAATTTGTGCTTCCTAAAGAGATTTACTGCTAATGGTTTATTCTTCTTCCTAGAGACTCTCAGCTTCATCATCATAAAGTAGGTGACAGATAACTACACCTACGCACGCAGGGACATGCATGGCCACAAGCTAGGTTTTCCAACACAGAATTTCAATTAAAAAAAAGTAAGTATGTAAATGAGCATCCATGTGCCCAGAGGCTACTTTTGATTTCTCTGTGCTCCCGGTACCTCACACTTGAGCACAGCCTGCAAGAAGAAGCTATGCTGGGGAGAAAGGCTGGCTTTGGGAAGATCTAGGAGCTCCATGAATGACAGCGAAGCCAAGGTTGGCTCTCAGCAGGACTCTTTCTGCTTGTATTTGAGAAGGGACATATTAGCAGCTGCTTAGAATGATAGCCAGTTATAAATGGTCTAAGTCCCAAGAGTCAGTCGAGTGTAAAGAGTCAAGGACAGCAATCCCACTTCAACAGCAGTCTTTGGGTGGTGAGGTGCCACTACAGACTCCAAATTTGTGACGCTGCAGGACTGAGAGTTACCACAACAAGTGTGGGATTGGCCCTACTTGCCCTTTGGGTTGCACTAGTCACAGGGCCAGAGGACCCTATGCTGCCTTCTGTGGACCATCAACACTTTTGCCAGCTCTGTTCCACTTAGACTGTCCTTCCTGAGTAGAATGAATGTTTCAGTAGGCTAGCAGGCTACAGTGGGGAGTTTATGTTTAAAAAAAATTAATAAATAAAAATTATATGTTTGTGTGTACATATATATACACATTCTATATTACATGTATGTAATAGAATATACTAAATTTATTTTTGCTTGTGTGTATATATGCATATTTGTGCATATGTGGCTAGAGCACAAATGTGGAAGTTGGGATAACGAAGGAGTTAGTTCTTTCTTTCCTTTTCTAGGGACTTACCCGGTTACCAGGCTTGTAGGCAAGCACCCATCCACTGAGCCATCTGGCCAGCCTGTGATCTATTTTACAGGTGGCATTTCTTTGAGAAGAAAGGATAGCACCCTGACCTCATTTTCACCTCAGCAGTGTGCAACTTCCCAAGCTGAACAGAGACTGAAGACAACTGAAACACAAGGTCCTGGAGCCAGCGGGGAACAGAAAGGACGGGTGTAAGCAGGAGAGCAAGCATGGGGACAGCTACCTCAATGGGGAGTCCTTTGTTACCCACCTTACTCTTAGATGGCACACATTTGGCTATTTTGTCCCAGCGGTCAGAGGCTCCTTTTGGGTATTGCTGTAAGGCCAGTTCCAGAAGTTTCTGCTGACTCTGAGTCCATGTCTCCTCTGTAGCACGGGTTCTTTCTCTTCTCTGGTTCTCTTCGTCACTGGATTCGTTTTGTTCTGATATATCAAAGTCTTTTTGCCTCTTTCCTCTCATCTTCTCCTCTGGCTCCACTCTGGTGACTACCTCAGCCATTCTGGCTGACTTCCGCCTCCGAGGCCGGACTTCTGTGGCCATTATCTCCTGCTCACCCTCTGCAGTCTCTGGTCCCTCATCCTCCATGGTCCCTGCCGAGTCCTCCCGCTGGGTGATGATATCATCTGGCAAGGCTGTGGCTATCTTGATGGGCCTGGAATTCTGCACATTCGACTTCAGTTCAGAGAGCCTGACCATTCCTAGGAAAAGCCACAGAACACAGGAAAACAGGCCATGGTGAACTCAGGCGACCAGCAGTGTCTACCACTTATACACCAACGTGCTCCACATTTTACACGCATTGCTTGGTTTACCTTTTACAGTATTCACCCCAATCTTACACACGAGGGAAGAAAGTGGCAGAGATGGGAGTTGGACCTAGTTCTGACTCCTTGTCTTTGTCCTTGTCACTGCTCTGAGGAATTAAGGGTATGTATGTCCAGCTCTGATCAAAGAACAGGACTTTCTAGAGAAGGAAACCTGATACTCATCTCTACAATCTAGGTTTCATTAGTTCTATTAGTGTAATTATGAGGACTGTGCCTCCCCTGCAGGCGAGCACACAGGCACAGCATTCTAGCAACTCTCACTACTTTTTATTTACTGTGTTTATGGAGGCCAAGAGCACACCTCGTGTGACTTGGTTCTTTTCTTTCACCAAGTGGGTCGCAGGCCTGGTGGCAAATGTCTATACCTGCTAAGCCATCACTCAGCCCAAGGTGAATTGACTTTATTTTATTTCTACCCAGACATGTTTCTCTGGGTAGTCCTGACTGTCCTGGAACCCAGAGGTCCACCTGCCTCTTTCTGAAGGCATGTGCTACCAGCTCTGGCTTCAAGGTGAATTTGTAAAAGCAGGGAAAGGATATTACTAAAAGGTTAAGCCTTTTACCTCACAAAGGAAGACAACCAAATAGAAACACATGAATGGGAACAAGTTGTGAACCTCAGTGATTAGACTGGCAAGGACGAGAGGCAGAGCAACCCCACAACAGTTTGCACTGGAACACTGGCATTGGCAACAGGGGCTCTCATACAATGTTCTGTAGTACTATAACCCACTTTGTATGTCTCTAAGAAACCATGCTTAAAATCTCACTTAATTCTACTTAATTTAAGCTTCAGTTATTTTATTTTTGTGTGCATGTGTGTGTATGGATGCTTGCACATGTGCCTATGCATGTGGAGGCTACAGGTCATCACCAAGTGCATTCCTTCTTTTTCTGAACCCGGAGCTCACCAGTTCAGCTAGAATGGCCTGTCAGCGAGCCCAGGGGTCCTCTTGTCTTCCCCTTGCTAGCAGTGGGACTACAGGCACATGATGCTGTACCTAGCTTTGTCACATGGGTGTCAAGGATGGAACTCAGGTCTTCATGTTTGTGAGGCAAGCACTTTACAGCTGAGCCATCTTCCTAGCCCCAAGTTTTAATTACAAAAGCTAAATGTGGTACTGGTTACGACATTAGAGTGAATTTAGCCTTTCTGGAGGACAGTTTGTCAGATGTAGGTAAGCCTTAAAAATAAACTTACTTTAATTCATGGTCTATATCCATGTACCAATCAATAATGTCATTTAGTTATGAAATATACCAAAGGAAAAAAATGAATATAAAGATAAAGGTAAAAATATTATCATATATATGATATACATGTTTGTATGCCAGGCATATATATATGATGTGTGTGTGTGTGTGTGTGTGTGTGTGTGTTTCTGTATGTCAGTCTGCAAGCAGACAATGGTGACCAGCAGCATACTGTCTTATTGAGTGGACCAACTCTACCAAGAACTATACAAGGGCTACTGGAATTGCCATTTTGTTCCATTTCATTCAAGCTCACATGCACAAACACACACACAAACACATTTTCTCAAACACAGGGTTTCATTTAACAGGCTGTCAATTTTTAGTAATGGAGGCTGGTCTCCAAAGAACTGTGGTTAAAAGAACTACTTTGTATCCCTCACTCTGGAGAACAGTTTCCCGATTCTTTTCAGAGGAAAGCAGGGTATGGTCATGCCTAGGGAACCATGCAGCTGCTCAGGGGCAGACAGCAAGCCCCACGGAGACCGTGGCGACTGCAGCAGCTCTCCGACACCAGTCACACCAGTCTATGGAGAAGTTGTGAAATATCACTGCCATTCTCAGTTCCTCTGCCCAGACAAATCCCTTTGTGAGAGAGGAAGCTGATTACAGTCTTTCCTAAAGCTAGCACATCCTTTTTGAGGAGACAGGATCCCAAGGTATGCTAACACTCTAAATCTTTAAACTTATTAAATACAAATTCTCAGCATTAACTGTGTGTGCAGGACCAGACTGATTTGGTGTCTATGACTATCCACAGAAACAGGATCAGGAGAGGTCTCTGGGCAAACTATCATCATTGATATCTAAAGACGTTATTATAAAAAGGGATTAATTGCGAAGAAACCGTGTCAGATTAGTGATAAGGTAGATACTAACTCACTTGGGGAAAAAGTGACTTCATCTTTCAGTTGCTTGGATACATGAAATAAAAATGGGTATGGTGGGAACTCACCTGGGGAACAGGTGATTGAGTCCTTCAGTTCCTTGGCTTTGGTTGTCACCTGTTTGGAAATATAAAAAGCAAGACATCTTACTTCCCACATGTCTGGGAAACTGATTTATTTTCAGGTAAGGGCCATGTGAAGGAACAAGTGTCATGGAAGTCTTGGGAATGTGCACTGTTGACTCCTGGGCACAAATATAGGCAGTACGCACAACCAGAGTGCCCAAACTGTCAGCCTCAGCTTCTTCCTACAGAGTATCCCAAGCCAGGGAATGCTCATGTACAGAGACCTCCTATTGAGAACATCTAAATATTCATATTTAGATGCTATATACATAATAAATGTGCTGAGATCCTCAGTTGTTATGGCAGTTGGACTGTTGGGGTAGCTGGTGTGCTCTTTCAAAGCAAGTACAATGTACCTGATCCCAGCTTTTCTATATGTGCATCTGTCCTTAGCTCTCCCTTCACAACTCCCAGTGAGGTTCAGTCCTTGCCTCACTTTAGGCCAGTCTACTTATCAAGGAAAACGAGGCCCAAGAAATTAAATGTCTTGCTCTAAAATGCCCCTCTACAGCAGAATGAGAACCCAAATCATTTCCCTAATTTCAGTGGCAGTGAATTATTCTAGACTGCTTAAAACAGTTGTAAATAGCTGTGCAAATGGACTAGTATTTTTAGTTAGGATTTCCAGAAACAGAATGTATCTTTCCCTGGAAGATACTGTACCAGTGAGTATAGTGGAGGTGGGGGTGGGGGGTAATATCCATGCTAATCATGATATAAGATACCCCACACACTAGAAAGAAACCCAGGATCACAGAAGAGTTACCAGAGGAACATCTTTTGGTGAGTCAAGGCATATAGAGCCAAGAAACAGAACAGATTCATCTGTGAGTGTGGAGCTATCTCTCTGAGTGCCAGTCTCAGTGTCCCCTTCAAGGCTCAGAAGAAGACTCACAGCAAGCGTGGGACTTTGATCTGAGGGTGAAATGATCTCTCCACTATGTACTTTTCTGCATCAGTTTCTTTATTCTTCTTCCGCTGTTGTTCTTCTGTTCTGTAAAGTTCCCAGTTTATATACACACACAAACAAAGACAATTGTCTGAGCTTGGACGTCCCTTATCTTTGAAGGTCCCAAATGTGATCTGTATGAAAGACTCCTTTCCTGAATGCGTGTCCTGCCAAAGGTAAGATAGTTGCAGGGAAGTGGCTTCTAATGTCTCATGGAATGAAGCAGAGATTAGACTGTGGGAAGCAGGGTTATTGACTGCGTGACTAAATTTCCCACTGGAGGTGTGCATTAAGTCATGGGGATAAAAGAATTGTAGAGAAATGTGTTTCATCATGTTCTGATGTCTCAGGCATGAAAGATCCAATAATTTCTTTATAATATAATTATGCTTTATATTATCTGATATTATCTAATACATCAACTAATAATTCCTTTACAAATAATTATTTTAATTTATCCTCAAAAAACTCAAGAGATAGAAGCCTGTATCTTTTTTCGGGGCATATAGCTTAGAGTAATCAACAGTAACAAAAAAGACAAAAGAAAACCAAGGAAATTAGTAAAATGGGTAAGAGCTAGGTAAGTGGACAGATACATGGGTCCAAGGTTCTGTTTAACAAAAGGAACTCTGTGATCCTCTAAACTGTCTAGGGTATATGTCACAGTCCTGGTGTCCTCAGGTAACTCAGGAAAGAAGACATTGGCTGTAGTGGTATTTTCAGTCATATTTTCAGATTCTGGCTCACTTGCTATCTTTACTATTAATATAATAACAGAAATTATGGCCTGGCATAATGGCTCAACAGCTTAAGGTGCTTGCCACACAAACTTGGTTATAAAAGTTAGATACCTGGGACTCATGTGGAAAGGTGGAGAGAGAGCAGATGCTACAAAGCTGTTTCCCGGTCTCCACACATAGTGCTACTGCATGTGCACCCCACTTTCTTTCTCCACACAGATAAGTCTGCAATTACGCACCTAAGAGGTATATATTACTTTCTCTATTTACTTTAGCTTTCCATTTGGATTTCCCATTCACTACAACCCAGAACTACTGCAGCTTTCAAATTCAAAGTAGATTCTGCTACCTAAGAATTAAATAAACCATTTGAAAAATATTTACAGTTGGTAGGAAGCAGTACTGAACAATCTTAAATCTTTTTAAAGTCTTTAATTGTGCTCTGCTGCGGGAGTATCTTCCGCTGCTTCAGCCAATAGTCGCTGAAGCACGAGCCCACGGTGCTGTGGGAGCGCCTTCCACTCTGTCAGCCAATAGCCGCTGAAATACCAGCCCACTGGGGTGTGGTATATTTCTCTTTTAAAAAAAGCCACAGAGCTCGGCTCGGGCCTCTTGGTTCCAACGCTTGTTCCCTGCTCCTGCTCCCGGCTCCTGCTCCAGCGACTAGGCTCCCTTCCTGACGGTTTATGGTGTATGTAAGTTTTACCCCCCCAAATAAATAACCCCTTAAAACATAACTGGTGTGGGATTGATTCGCAGTTATTTGGCACCCAGCGTTTGGTTTAGGAACCACCCCAGCCCCCCACCCCCAGCTCGGCTGGGCCAGCTGGGCTTGGCACGAGCCCTCCCTCAGCCATAACCTCCATGCCTCCCAGGATACACAGGTCCGGACAGTCTCTGCTGGCCTACTTTGCCCTGTTCTGCATGGATTTTTAAATTTTTCCTTGCAACGTGAGTCAAAGAGCTCACAGCGCAAGCTCCCTTTGAAGTTCCAGCAAGCTGTTTAAAACCCCCTGACATCCGCAATAACTGATTGGGAGTGCTGCAAGCAGCTTGACCCTTAATCCCAGCACAGGGACACGGGGCCCAAAGCACTAGGCCTCTTTAGCAACAGCGCAGTGACTGTGTCACGACCCTCTGCATCGGGTTGAACAGAGCGGCAGGGCACGAGAGCCCGGCTGGGGTAGGCCAGGCTGCCTTGATTATGGGCCACTAGAAGCTCTCTACCTTTTGTGATCTGTGAATTTAACCTCTGGATTTGAGTGTATATATTCTAGAGTTTACTTCCTGAATCAACGCCATTGCCACGTGGATTCAGGTGCGCCTCACCTCCTACTGGCAGGCAACGGTCATTACAGGTAAGATTCTTCTTTTTGGTTGAAAATAAATACATACATACATACAAGTACAATTTCTTTTGATTGAAAATGTCAGAAAATATTACTATCCAAAAGTTCAATGGTTTTTTTAATTGCGCTATGGAGGATATTCTGAAGTATGTCTCTGATATTCCTCTTACTTTGTTATTCCTGGGATCTGTTGTTTTTCTGGTGTTTGGCTATTTTATAAGAAAGATACAGTCTTTACAGACTGAATCTACAATGCTGAGGGCAGAGATTAAAACCTTAAGAACAATTCAGAGTGATACCAACCTCCTCAAAAAAGAGTTTGGAGATTTCAAGGAGGAAACTAGATCAGAGTTTGGAGTTTTCAAGCAGGAGACTAGATCAGAGTTTGGAGTTTTCAAGCAGGAGACTAGATCAGAGTTTGGAGTTCTTGAGGAGACTAGATCTTTGTCTGATATGACTCGGTTGACTGACCAAAATATCAAGAAGGTACAGTCTGATATTGCTTCTTTAGAAGGGAGCTTCACTGCTCTGGAGGAGGGGACAACCAAAATGACTTGTAACCTCCAGTCCATGACTGTAAGTACTGAAACATTAGCTGAGAGGATTATAACCATTGAATGTGAAAATCGGACTTTATCAAAAGGGTATGATAGATTAATTGACAGGATTTCCATACAAGAAGGCACAGTACATGCCATGAGGATTATGTCCCAGGAGGATATGGTATCTCTAACGGACAAGCTCCACGCCTTAGAATTATCAATGAAGGCGATTGTGTCCAAGGAGGAAATGGTGTCTCTGACGGACAAGCTCCATGCCTTAGAATCGTTAATGAAGGCTTTGGAGCATAATACTGGACAGGAGATTCAGGACTTACAGAAGGCAATGGTGAGCAGATTTAATAAAATTGAGGAAATCATAGACTCTGATGAACAGGAGCAAAAGGTAGAAAGGCAACATTCACCTCAAAAAACTCTCAGTCTACATAGAGTTATACCTGCCTTTCCAGTAATAACATCAGAAAAGATAACCGGCTCCAAAAACCCTAAGGTCATTAAAGAACATACATGGGAGCCTATACGTATGAAAGATCTGAAAGAATTTAAACAAGCCATTGTGAATTATGGACTACATTCATCCTTTGTTAGGGAGATGTTAAAATCCTGGGCTCTGAGCAGCAGGGCCACCCCTCAAGATTGGAACCAGCTCACATCAGCTGTCCTCGAGAACGGACCTTTATGGCATTTCAAATGCCTATTCAAACAAGAGGCCAGACTTTTACAACAACAAGAATCAGCAAAAGGAATTGAGGTTTCTCTAGATCAAATTCTAGAGGAAGGACCTTACTCTGATCCTCAGGAACAAGCTCTTTATGATGAAAACATTTTATCCATATGTGCTACAGCAGCTCTAAGGGCCTGGGACAGGGTTCAAGACTCAGGTCAGAGAGTAGAATCGTATGTCAGGGTCAAACAGGGTCAGAGAGAACCCTTTAGTGACTTTTTGCAATGACTAACTAAGGCTGTACAAATAGGGATACCTGATACCTGATTCAGAAGCAAGAAATATAGTAATTGAGTCTTTGGCATATGAGAATGCCAATGTAGAATGCAAAAGGATCCTGGGGCCTTTAAAGCTCAGATCAGCGCCTTTGGATGAATGGGTTTTACATACAATGAATGTTGATACATTTGATTATGGCAATGAAACATGGGTACAAGAAGCAATTTCCAAAGGTAAAAGGAGACATCAGATTACAAAATGCTTTCATTGTGGCAAAATGGGACACATGAAAAGGGACTGCAGACAATGGAATTCCAGGAATAATGCCTCTTCTAGGAATAACAGGAATAGGAGGACTCAGCCTTCAGGTTTATGTAGGAGATGTGGAAAGGGCAGGCATTGGATGAATGAGTGTAGGTCAACAAGAGATAAACAGGGCAACCCGTTGCCA